TCTCAAGTACTAAAGCTAATCTACCTCTTTTTAATTTACTTTCTTTGTATTAATGCTTTTCCAACTATATAATGTGATACAAAAAATAAATTTGAACAATATATTATGTATATTTTGCTCTTATCTTTCTATCTATCATTATTTAACAATTTTTTAGTCGTCGAAACATAGAAGATTATAATAGGCTACCACGGTCTTGAATGGTGTGTAGTGTAGTTTAAAAAAGGTTTTAGTTTTCGTTGGATCAACATCAACTTATCTCTCATTCCAATGTTTATCTTATAAATAATTATCAAGCTCGACTTGCAACATTGTCCATTATGGCACTAAAGAATATAACTTAAGGTCATAGTTCTCAAAATTATGAAATAGGTTCATTTGCTACCTTACCAGCCACTTTGTTGACGTCCCTAGGATGAAACAGTAGCACGATATCAATGGTATTGGAGAGCATGCATTTGATATCTTGTATGACCGGCTTAAGAAACGATATTTCTTCTTCTTCCTTGAAGATTGATATGAGCTGCCTTGAGTATTCATAGATGATCTTCTGATACCCAAATGCATTTAAGGTTAAGATTGTCCATTTAAGGCCATAGTTCATGTTTCAATTACTGATTTTGGTATTGGTATTGCTCTTGCTCTCATCCTCAACACCTTGTCTTTTTTTTTTATCTCTTAGTATCCATCCTAACCCACTTTATATTCTATATGTAGTCAAACACCATCAACATTACATTTTAATAGCATGGAGGTGGGTAATCCATCTTTTTTGTTCTTGTGCAAGAAAAGGTTGTTGTCATCTCTTGTACTTAAGCTTCTACTCTACTCTGCTTCCCATTCCTTTGCATCTATCAAGTCTCTTCTCACTACTCTTTTGCTAGATCAAAGCTTTTGAAGGCAACTTCATTTCTACTTTTCCATAACCTCCAAACAATCTGTGGCACTAATTTAACAGTGTTTTCATATTGAGAGTAGAATTGTTGAGGTTTAAGAACCTCAAGAAATTATTGTAAATAAAATCTGACCATTCTTCTTTTTGGGATATTTCTCATACCCCCATTGGTATCATACACAAATTAACCTCTTTTACTAAGTGTTTATAGAGATTCTGTGCCACATGTAGAAAACCACTGAGACACTTCCTGAGGAAGCCATGTATCTTTAGACTGGTTTTGTTTTTCAAATTTGTTGATACAGACTGAATTGTAGCATTTGTTATTCTTTTGAGTTTTGTTTAAGATCTTAGCTTGGACTCCATAACCATATATGGAC